CGTAAAATGGAAGCTTGCAAAATTTCATCGATCTCGTCGAATTATCCGAATGTAAATCGGGTAATCGATTTTTGAATTCTTCTCGATTTCTTCACGGTTATTCGTTTCTTCGTTTTGCCTTTCATTTTCTTCGCTTCGATTATAACAATCTCGAGATACGATCTATAATATCTATTTACATTTATTAAAAACTTCCGGCTAGTATTTGCGATCTCGATAATATATGCACGCGAAATAATTATGGCTATGATTTAATATTCCGGCAGAGCGAATAAAAAGCAAACCCAACGGAACGTGTTTCTCGGATAATTTCGCGTAAATCCGAACGATTAGGCATACGATATACCCATTGATTTACGGAGCCGATGAACGTATCGTTTAGAACGGAATCGTAGAAATGAGTAACGATTTACGATATGCAATTTCGTCGGGTATAATAATAACGACACTTTCACGTCGTTTAGAGGCAAACGGACGTGTAATCTGAACTTCAATAAAACGAGAATTTTCATTGCGCGTTGCATAAACCTTTCAACGACGTGTGTAAATAATAATGTAATATTGGTTCTTCCAGTCGATACACGGTGTAATTTATACTAGCCACGAAAAGGTTAAAAGATCACGAGAGATTTCATTTGCGCGCGATTAGCCATCGATTCTGCGGAATTCAAGGAAAGTAAGAGTTTTTCCAGTCTCCCGAATTCCCCCGAAATTCCCCCCGACCGAATATCCGCGGGAATTTTGAATAATGAAATTACCTTGGGGAATTACTTTGACCGATGGAAGATGGGAAGATCGAGGAAAATATATTCCAACAACGAATAAAGCAATAATGAAACGGAAGTATCAGGTTTGCTTAGTGGATTTTAATTGCGAAGGAAGAAAAATAAAAGTGGTATTATAATCAGAATTTGAACAAACTGATGAAAATTTATGCGAGTGCTATTAGGCGGTATATATGCGCGTGTGTGCGTAGCATACATTAGCTATCGTGCGAACGGATATGGGCAATGAATGAAACCGCAGTAACACCCGGAATTATCCCTGACATTATACCCGGTCGATTAATTATCGATCGTTAACATTTGGCGTAATATGCCTTGTTCTACCGCAGGCTTTTTACAATTTACAATGCGGCCATTAAGAGAGGATTATTAAATTTATGAAATTTCCAATCAAATTACCGCAATGTAATCGCTGAAATAAATTACCGCCATCTGCACCGGTATTAGTTTACAGGCGTTAAAGTATTCCGCCATGTTGGCCTGCGCTGCTTACGAATACGTTACGAATAACTGCGCGATGATGAAATTAAATACGAGCCATGAATTTCCGTTAAACGCTACGTGCCGAAACCGCCGCCTCGCCTACGATTCAGCTCATCCTTCGCTAATGTCCACTCCGTGTCGATTTTCAACGGAATTTACACGATTCAATAGCACCGACGAACGTTCGTAACACGTGTCTCCCCCTCGGAGACACTCGAGCGACGACCGGTGAAATAGCCTTTAGTTCCATCGGACGACACGAGTGTCGCCATCAATCTTCATCAGCGCGCTGAAATTCCTATCGATCGAACAATTCGAACGTGTAACGATACACGACTCGAAATAAATTACGCGCTCCCCTTGCTTATATATCATTATCGTACGCTTGTTTTTCTCTTTTCTCTTTTCTCCCTTTCCTCTCGTTCTTTTCGTCCCGACAAACGTAACCGCTCGCGGCCTTAATGCCGACTTTCATTTTGTTTTCACCGTCTGATAGGAAAACCGAGCGTATGATAGGTTATTAATCGATTTATCTCGAGACTCGATATCCGAGTATCGCGGTCGTAGTACGATACCGCGACGTGCTTAATGAATGACGCGAGGGAAAAATTATCCGGCGATTCTCGAAAAATTCAGCCCCCTCGCCGAGCCGCACCTGGACAATTAGTTCCACGAAATTAATTAACCGTGAACGCACGAGCACGCTCGGGATGATGAATGTTCGTGACTAACAATCGCGCTCGCAACGAGTATTTAACGTTCGTTTGCATTTTCTCTGCTCGTTCTCCTCTTATCCGTGCAATTCGTTGATATAACCTCTAATTACGTTTAACTTCGATTTTCACGCGGGTTATAATTTCAATTTGAATTTCACTCGGATCGAAATCGAAATTTGAATTTCATTTGAATTCAATTTCAATGTAATTTGAATGCGATTTGAATTTCATTTGGACGTAATTTAAAATAGAATTGGGAACAGAATTTCAGTGGACCTCGGAGCGTTTCTTTTTTCTAATTTTACCGCAATTCCGGGAAGCTCGATTTAAGTACGAGCCGGGCTAAAATTGAACTTAATTCGAATTATACTTAAAGATAACCGAAATTTTGGAATAACGTTGGGGATTTAAATACGAGGGAAAATCGATCGTCGACGGAGATAAAAATCGTTCTGGATCTTCGTATCGGACGGATTAATGGCTTTCACTCGAACACCGAGGAAAGATGGTTGCGTAACGCGGAAGCTAGACCACGCTGGTTAGGCGCGTTCCAACCTTGACTATTTTTTACACGCGCGACTCGGAAACAATTTATAGAATGGCCATAAGGTACACGGGGTTCGGGCGAATTTTCAGCTTCGTGGCAGGGTTCTAGGATATCGTGGAATTTGCCTAAAACCAACACGCCTGCCATGTGCGGTTGCCAGAGAGCAACGAACTAGGGTGTAAACAAATTTATTCGCACCGGCTTAGAGAGCTAAATATAAGTTATTCGGCCGATGCTTTTCTTCGATTTTATCGATCGACCAGTTGACACCGAAACGATGTTAAAATGTGGAAAGTCCGATACGCGATCGCTCTTATCTATCCGACCAATAACCTCCATTTTAATTTACTAATCTCGATGTCGGAGATAAATAATCTCCGCGTGTTCCTTGTTACCCTCTTTCGCCTCGACACGAATTTCGACTTAAAATAAATTTACGACACAGAGGTGAACGCTTTAGAAATATCTTAATGATACTCGAGGATGCAGAAATATGTATCGCAGACGATAAGAAATTGGATAAAGGACATGCGACTTTCACTGTCCCCGTTACGATGATTTTTTTAGATCTGCGTGAAAATGGGAACGAAGGCTACGTCCAAGTTGAATTAAGGTTCAACCGAGCCTCCAACGGTCCCTAATTCGCCACCCATCGTGAAATTTGCGAGAAACTGCACGTTTCTCTTACACCGACAGACCAAGTTGTTCTAAATTGCCCTCTTTTGCTCTTGTTTCATTCGCAGATCAAACAGGGGATAAACGATACGTTCGTTCAGCTTTTTACCATTCGCTAATGTATTAACTTGTACAACTATAAAAAGCGATCGGAGCTCGTGTTGGGTAATGTGAATTTCGTGTAATGGAAATTTCGTTGATCTAAACATCATCGCTAGCTTGTAATTACAAACGAACCAATGTTTCTAATACGTACAAAAAATTAATAGTTAGATTATGGTAAGCAAAAAGTATAATAAATTCTGTACGCTGTTTTTCTTCGCGAAAATGTCACAGGATTACATAAACGATTTGCTTATAATCTGTAATTCATGCGATAATAATAATATGCTCGACAGTGAGGCTGACTTACAATTAATTAACTGTGATTAGGATTAATAAGATTGCACTAATTGCAATTAAGTTGATACAGATGTGTACGTGATGATCGTCTTACATTTTATTAAACTAAAGAATTCGATATATACCATAAATACGGAATCCTCGGACTGTAAATCTGAAATGCATTAACGATATTACTAACATTTTATCGGGAATAAAGTCTAGCTTATGATGAAATTTACTACTTATCTTAATATCCTTATTGTTACAATATCACAGTAGGGATTAATTTGCAACTGCTTGCAAAACTTTGTTACTGAAACACGTCATTCGTCTTATGTCTATAAACGAAGTAAACTTGTATCGTAGGGAATAATATATTACAATCCTTTCTTACTTTAACATGTCTGATTCTACTCGTTACGAAGAATTTGTTACCGAAAAAGACCCAAATGATTAAATATAAAGGTCAAAGAGAGGAAGACATAAATATACTATGATACACTGTTTTGAAATATAACAAGACAGGAATGAAATAGCGCTCTTTCTACACAATATGCGGCGAGTAAAAAAAAACCGAAAACGCACACACTCGTAGCACCGCCACGCTATACTACACAATACCGTAGTTATGCATACATTCGCGAGGTCCAGTACGTATCATGTTTTGTGTTGGGATGCAATTAAGGGGGGAGGAAAGGAGCGAAAGAAGAAGATAGAAAACACGGTAGAAAGATACGGAACTAACACGAGTCGGGTTCCCGACGCCCACCTGATCATACAGCACAGAGTCGACAGAGAATCGTGCTGAAACTGAACGTGCGTCCACTATCGTCTCGTCACGACAAAAGTAAAACTTGATCTACTATCTTTGGTCGAGGTTGCGCAATTACTAACGAGAAATCGCAACAAATATCCCAGGTATTGAACATTGACTATTTAAACATCAGGATTGTTTGAAAAATGAGTTTCGATCGTTTTCTTATATTGCTTTTGATAGATCCGCGCCTGTTACGTGTATCTCAAGCATGCTGAATGTAATTATTTACTATTACCAACGTTTATCCTGTACGCCTGCTTAAGTGTGCGTTGTCGACCGTTTCCGTTAACAATAAAGAGATATATCCGGCTCGCAAACGGAAACGACATATTTATAATATTGATTTGTCGTGTTAATGACACGTGCAATACCTAAATGCATTGCTCACGGTCCCTTTGCTCGAATGTACTTGCAGTTAAAATTTATGGGTTTTGCTATGGTATTTGATAAATTGTATTTCTACCCAATTTAGCAGAGAAAATTTTGACGAACGTTTTTGATCAATATATACGTACTTATATTAAAACTATATTACTAGATGATAAATAATCATCTAATATATTATAAAAAATTATTCTTTTTATATTACTCACCATATGCTCCACTGCTTTTTCCTCGAGTTCTGCCAAAGTCCAATCTATGTGAAAACTTAAAGGTTGAAGACGTGATTCCATTTCACGAAGCCATTTCCTCAAACATTTTACTTCGTGTTCAAAATCTATAACACAAATCTTTCGCTTAAAAATTCGTAGTTCATGACACGAATTGACAGGGAATGTTTTACTTGAATAGAAAACATTACCTGCCGATATATCCTGCTGATTAGATACAGGCCGCTCAATAGGTGCCATAATTTGTTCAACTAATTCCCATTTTGCATTTAAATGGTCTACACGCCACGCCACTTCATCTTTCAAAGCAGGGGCATGTGACACTAATTTTCCAGCTTGTTCATTGAATAACTTTCTTCTATATGCCCTACGTCGCAGCTCCTCCATGTGAGCCTTAAATTTATATTTTATAAATAATGGATAATCATTTAATTTTCCATAATATAAAAAAATTCAATGTGCCGCAATATATTTAAATAGTACATACCGCACGCAGACTTTTATCTAACAAATTCTCTTCTTTGCAATAAACTAGTTCTTGAAGAACCCTTAGCCATGAATATAGTTCTGAGAATTGACTACTGACTTCTTTGAAACTCCATGATTGTGTAGATACATCAGTCTCGTCCCACGTTAATTCACCATTAGCTTCCTATTTATATTAAATTAAGACATAAATATAATATACATCACGTATGCATTGTACCTATGCATTGTATTACATTGTCAATACCTCAACTAAATACATACCTTACAACTATCTATTAAATTTGTGTCCATAATATAATCATAATTAGATCGTATAGCTGCCCAAAATTCATCTTTGCAATCCTCACGATTTGCCCATAAACGTTGATTGTGAAACTGCTTTGGATCTTTCCTGTAACATTAATAATATAAATTTAACGTAAACTAATACAAGTCATTAATAGCACCAAATGATATACTAACCGTTTTTTGGTGAGACTGTTGTATGGCCTTTCTATCGCTACACCTGCTTGGCCATGCTTTTCTAAGCCAAGGCTCAGCGGTTGTAGCGATGACAAAGAGAAACTCATCTTCATGGCTTTGCAGTGGTCTATAATGTTCAAGCGAAAAAAGTATATATCAAAATTTGTTGTGCTAAAAGCAAAATATATAATATATATTATAACACTGTTTTGTAATAACCTACAAGAGTTAACAAATAGTAATTATTAAATACAAAATTCTGGAATTATAAACAATATATAAAGAATTTTGTGCTATTAAAATGATACATTTTAACCTTAAAGTCACAAGATCAAGGTACACAAAACAAGTGTTAGCATATATATAGTATATACTGTAGATGTAACAAATAAACAGTACATGAAAGGAAAAGTACTAAACGTTAGAATATTAAAATATTAAGAAAAATCAATATTTACAATTACATGTTTAATTTATTATAATTCTCATAACATTTTAGAACATGATACTGGCAAAACTTCAGTGAATTTAATGTATCAAATATTTTCATGTGCTTTTCTTTATTTGTGAACATGAAAATAATTGTGGCCGGTTATAACTAAATGAACAACGAAAGACTCAAGAATATAACCTCTAGACAACTTTTCATAAAGATATTTTTCCCCATTTCATAACTGTCAAATGTCTTTCATATAATTTACTTGCCACGTATAAGATACTACATTTCACATACGCGAAAGTATAAAAAATAATGACTAGAGTAAATTTTTCGTACCATTCTTTGAATTCCTAAGTTAAAAAAAAAATTACTGGATTTCAATGCATTAGACGCGACACGACATAAAGTCTGTTCTACCCGAATTATCTTGAACACATTATTCGAACACACGTGTAAGTACAACATTTGGAAATGGTAACGTGTACACACTGTATACATGTGCAATTCATACAGGTAGAGCGTCCAAGTGTGTACACTTTATCAGAAATACAAGAGTTTCATATACGCTCCGGCTTAAGTTACAAGATAAGCACATAAGAATTTACAAAGTCGTTCAAATGTTCTCGTATCCCATTGGAATACTCACTCATTCTTATCGTAAGTAGTCATGAAATAAAGTTAGCATTCTTTGAAATGGTCTCAGTTTAAATGTATTATTCAGCACACGAGAAAAAAACGTGATTGAGGAAACCGGAGAACGTTGCAACGAGAACTCGAGTTGGAGGGGCTGCACTCCACTGCATACATTCAAGGCACAGCTTCTTGCCTTGCAAGTAGGTATGCAAACAATATATCGAGTGCAGAAGACATCGATACACCTGACCCGATACATTAGTACAAACAGATTTCAACAAACTTTATTCAACATTTATTGCACACCGTCACTTTGGTTTCGATGCATCGATGTAATATTGTATCGATATTTGAGCCATGGTTTTTACATTCTTTCCCGAGGGAAACGTTACTGAAAACTTTTAGTAATTTTGCATTCACTCACTCATATTACTCGTTGCAATCCCGAATAAATAAGCGATCCATTTGGGCGCACTGTTAATTACTTGTCGATAACATTTGCACAATTTTTAACCCAACGAGACCGCCAATTTTTTTTTAACAAAATACCGCCTTACACACCACTGTGCACACCGACATGCACCAACGTGCACTGTCGTACTGCGCATGCGTGTTCGCGATAAGTGTAAGGAGCTACGACTCATGGCGGATTCTTAGTAAGATATCTATTCTTGTTATTGGAATAAAGCAAGATGAACCGATGCGTAAGAAACTAACATGGGATAGAATTAGGAGAGATATTCTTGTATTCGCAATAAGAAAATTCAAATAGCTGTGATAAATTATTAGACAAAGTACCACGCACTGCGTACGTATCATATGTACACGTATTTTTAATACGCATTTCGATTTTACAATGTTAAATTGATCGAGATGACACGTTTAAACTATTTGAACAAAAGAATAGGAACAACGTACAGAAAAACTTAAGAATGCGAAATATTTAGTGATTAACCTGCAACAGTTAATGATACGAGGTAATGTAAAATTTATCTTGAGAAAGTTAATAACACTAATTTTGTAACATCAACTTTCTTGTTTATTTGGAAACTTCGATATTACTCAATAAAGCTTTCTATTGTAAACAATTTCATCATGGTTTTATAAACATTTTGAAAATTATGTATGAAATAAATTAAAATATTCAAACATAATCTTCATGTATTTGTTGATTAACAAGTGTTCACAAGCACATTGTGTTTAAAACCACAAATTTCCGCGTTCTTATGTTTCAACATATTTTTCTTTCTTGACACCAATAGTCATATAATCTTTATATATAAACATATTAATTCATATTACAACACACTGCAAACGTAAGTAACTCGGTAATTTTCGAAATCAACTACTCGTTGATTTATGTTACTAGATGTATGATAAAACATCACCTCGAATATATAATCAGATATTCTGTATTCGTAATTACTAAAATTAATTACGATATTTTTTCATTAAACAGCATTCAATTTTTAAATTTTACGAGAAATGTACGATTTATTTTTTAACTTAAATCATAATATTTTTAACATAAATGAACTGTAGAATCTTAATTACTAATAAAAATATATGAACAGTTCTGGAAAATATACAAAGGACAGGTAAGATAGATGAAACGATAACGGTTGTAAATCAATTTGTTTATTTCGAACTGTATGTCATTGAAAAATCTTGACGAGTGAGTTTTTAGTATTCTTCGGCTCCTTCTTCCTCACCCTCTGCGGAATCCATACCAACCTCCTCATAGTCCTTCTCCAAAGCAGCAAGATCTTCGCGTGCTTCGGAGAATTCACCTTCCTCCATACCTTCACCGACGTACCAGTGTACAAATGCTCTCTTGGCGTACATTAGATCGAATTTATGGTCAAGTCGAGCCCAGGCCTCTGCGATAGCAGTAGTGTTGGATAACATACAGACAGCTCGTTGTACTTTAGCAAGATCACCACCAGGTACCACAGTAGGTGGTTGATAGTTAATGCCAACTTTGAAACCAGTTGGACACCAATCGACGAATTGAATAGTGCGTTTAGTCTTGATAGTTGCGATGGCTGCATTAACATCTTTAGGTACAACATCTCCTCTGTATAACATGCAACACGCCATGTATTTTCCATGACGGGGATCACATTTTACCATCTGGTTGGCCGGTTCGAAGCAAGCATTTGTAATTTCCGCTACAGAAAGTTGCTCGTGGTATGCTTTTTCAGCGGAAATGACTGGCGCGTATGTAACTAGTGGGAAATGAATTCTTGGGTAAGGTACTAAGTTAGTTTGGAATTCCGTCAGATCAACATTAAGAGCGCCATCGAAACGAAGAGAGGCAGTGATCGAAGAAACGATTTGACCAATCAGTCGATTCAGATTTGTGTACGTCGGTCTTTCGATGTCCAAGTTACGGCGACAGATATCGTAAATAGCCTCATTGTCGACCATAAATGCACAATCGGAATGTTCTAAAGTGGTATGGGTGGTGAGAATTGAGTTATAGGGTTCGACCACAGCAGTGGAAACTTGTGGTGCTGGATAAATTGCAAACTCCAGCTTTGACTTCTTCCCATAATCCACGGACAGACGTTCCATCAACAGAGATGTGAAACCAGAACCAGTGCCACCTCCGAACGAGTGGAAGATAAGGAAACCTTGGAGTCCAGTACATTGATCAGCAAGTTTACGAATACGGTCCAAGACAAGGTCAACAATTTCCTTGCCAATTGTGTAATGACCACGAGCATAATTATTTGCTGCATCTTCTTTGCCTGTGATCAGTTGTTCTGGATGGAAGAGCTGACGATAAGTGCCTGTGCGAACCTCGTCTGCAAAAAAAAAAAAAAAAAAAAAAAAAAAAAAAAAAAAAAAA